GACACCTATTTAAAGGGGGAGTGTAGCCCTATACCTACACAACACGCTACTACAGAGCCACAGGCGCTCTGTGTTTGTAAGTACTCAATTGGCACTTATTTCCATATATTTTTTAACCTTACTGTACTACCCTATTGTGTGTCTATATACTTTCCCTCGCCTAAATGATCCCAGAAGCGATCCACACTGGAGCTAGGTTTTATAGAGGGAAAATGTAAGAAATTAGTGATTGGAACAAATAGAGTAAAGAAGAATCTGAAGTATTGACATACTGATTTTTGTTTTTTGTATCTGCTAACTATTTTGTGATTATATTTGTGTGACTTATATGAGATTTCTGATATAGATTGTAGAAGGGAGGAAAAGGGAGAGAAAAAAAATAAAATAAATTTAACAGATCATAATCTAAAATAGGATTGAATTTTTTTTTTTTTTTAATTCTTTCTTTTATTGAGGCATAGACTTTACGGGTACAGAATAAAGAAAGGGAGACAATAAAAGTCATACAGGATGGGGTATCACAGTTTACCATACAACATCTCCGAAACTTGTCGGCCTCGTTTTTATTTTTTAAATAATGTGTATTAAAGGCATTGTGTAGCGTTAGGTGCCTACAGGCTTTGTGTCAAGGTATAACTTGTAGTAGGTATTAAGGCACCTCTGAATGTGCTAGTGTTGAGCGTGGGACCTTAGTTAGGTGAGCTTGGGTAGGTATGTGTGTCTTAGCTGGGTGTGGTCAACTAAGTTGCTAGCTAAGAGTGCAGCAGGTAGTGTGCGGTATATTTCGAGCTGTGTAACGCACTCTGGTTGTTAGGAGGGGGGTGAAAGTGGCTCAATGCGTATTATTATTATGAAAGCTTACGGAGCCAGTATTGTGCAAGTTTGGGAAGAGCATAGTGTTAAGAAGCAGCATTTGGTGGAGAGAAAAGGGAGAATAAAAACAGAAATAAAAACAAAAACCAACAGCATCAGTATTGGGAATAACCAAGAACAAACGTGGAACGGATCAGGTATGTCCCTTGTCAGGCGCAACAGGTTAAGGGCTTGTGGGCTCTGCTCTGCTGCTGCTTCAGGTTTGTAGGGCAGAGGTTTTCTGAGCCTCTCTTCTAGGCACGAAGGGGGTAATCTCCGCTACAGTCCATGTTGGATGGGTCAACTGCTGTGTTGTTGGCGCTGGAAGGCCGAGTGCCTGCAGGAAGGCTGGTATATCAGATGCGTGAGACAGCTTATGTGTTTCGCCCGCCTTTTCTGCCTGTAGTCGGTGTGGGCCCCATTTGTAGGGGATGGCTTGTTCCCAGAGTAGCTGGGTGACTGGGCGAAAGGACTTCCTCCACATCATGGTGTGTCTGGAGAAGTCTTTATAGAACGTTAGTTGTGCCCCTTCAAACGCCACCGTGGGGGAGCCTCTTGAAGCCCCCATAATCATGCCCCTGTCAGAGTCCCGCATAAATTTAATCAGTACGTCACCAGCTCCTTTGCGTGGTGTGGCGGCCGCCCTGGTGAGTCTGAAACAAGAGTCTATCGTGATCAACTTAGCTTGTCTTGGCGTAAGTAAAGTGGCTATCAGCCGTCGGCAATAGTGTGGCAATTCTGAGCCGGTGAGTGTCTCCGGTACTCCACGGACCCGCAGGTTTCTTGCCTTGTACCGGTCTTCTATGCCAGCCAGTTGGGTTTGTTGGTCCGCGTATTGCTTGCGGAGTAAGTTCAGCGCCGTGTCCGTGGCACTTTGCGCCAGTTTAGTGTCCCTCAGGCCCTCTTCCACATTTGCCACTTTATTGGTGAGTGTGGCTACGTCTGCCCTTACTAGCGCCATGTCTGCTTGGAACATAGCCTGAATGTCCTTCACCAAAGCTTTGATATCCGCCTTGGTGGCTGGAGCAGCGTCCCCCATGTCTACGGGTCTCTGTGGCAGTTGTTGCGTGCGGGTCAGCAGTGCAGTCTCTGCATAGTAGCTATCCTCGTCCGAGGATTGTGAGGCATAGATCTCGGGCGCCATCTTGGCCTCAGCAGGCCGCGATGCGGCTCGGAGAAAAGCCCCTATATCTCCGGATCCCATGCCCGGATCCGCCCTCTGCTTCTTGCTCTTCTTCCCCATATTGTCGGTAAGCTGTGAACCGGTTTAGGTGCCCGGTGTGTGCGGGGATTATGGCTCCGAGCGAGTTAATTGAGCGTGTCGCACGGAGCTGTCTGCGGATGCGGCCGGTTAGCTCGGGTGCTGGCTCCGCCCCCATAGGATTGAATTTTAACCATAAAGGTATGTAATTTAATATGGATGATTGGAAATGTAATAGGTAATTCCCTGGTAGAAAGGTGAAGTAAGTGATATTTAGAATTAGGGATATAATAAACAAAACAAATCAATTTTAGATAATTAAGTATAGGAAAAGGAAGATAGAAAATTAAAAGCAATGGGTGTAGTATCTCTGAGTCACCACCAGGGGTCCTACGCGTTTTGTCCGTGTATAGGACTTCCTCAGGGACTTTGGTAGGGTGCAGTAACAAATCCAAATAAATTTATTTTTAAGTCCCTGAGGAAGTCCTATACATGGACGAAACGCGTAGGACCCTTGGTGGTGACAGAGATACTACACCCATTTCTTTTAACTTTGATGTAAATGATTAAATATATTTTTTATTATACACTTGATTGTGCACCACAATTTTCTTTTTTTCTCTTGAGTACATACACTCCAGCCAACCCATGGTGATTTGAATACAGAGTGAAGATTGAATCCTTGGAGGGAATTTATACTAAAGGCACTTTAAGTTCAGTGAATACACTTGTGGTTTATTCATATACACAGTTATACGTTATGTTTTTCTGTTTGTTATTGGCTTAGCAGATCATCCCCTATTTTTTTTCATATAAGTCTTAAGGAAATCTGTTTTCAATGGGTGGATGTTGGAGGCCATTATGGCCATGTATTCAAACTGCTAGGGTACTCGGGGGAGGGTTCAGCTCTGACTGGTTCGATCTGGCAAATGGAACCAGGCAGGGTTGTCCGCTCTCCCCGATTCTATATATAATGTCACTAGAACCACTGGCTTCTCAGATTAGAGACAATAAAAAGATGAAAGGGTTCAGAACAAAATCTGGCGAACTGAAATTTAACCTTTATAAACATGATGTGATAATGACTTTAGAATAACCTGAAAACTCCTTTGAAGAAACAGTTGGGGTTATAGAACAATTATCTGAGGTGTCTGGCTACAAGCTTAATTTTAATAAATCAACAGCTTTAATAAACAATTTTTCAGTACACACTAAAGAGCTATTGAAAACTAAATACAGATTTGTTTGGTCAAGTATGAAATAATTGGGTATAACAATATGCTCTGACCCAAACAAAATAATAGAAGTAAATTTCTTTCCTCTTCTTAAACAAACGTCTAAACAGTTGAAAGATACGGGAAAGATGGAATTCTCATTCTGGGGAAGAATAAATATTTTAAGATCATATGTCGTCCCCAGATGGTATATCTTTTCCGTAAGGTACCTCTTTCAGTCCCTAGCCGCTGGCTATCTATGATTCAGATGGCATTTAGGAACTTTGTCTGGCATAATAAAAAAAAAAAAACCAAGACTAAAACTAGATTGTCTTAAATTGAAACCTGCTCACGGGGGTCTTTCTATGCCAAATATATATGAATACCATAATGCAAGCATGTTGGTGCGTGCATTTAAGACACAAAAGGAATCATCAAGAGAAAAAAACTGGTATAAGGTGGAAAAAGATCTAACACAACAGAAAGACTTAGGGTATGAATTCTGGACAACAGAACCTTAAAAATGCCAACAGTTGGAAGGTGTTTAATTATGAGGCACATTTTAACTAATTAGCCTGTCTCCCTGCAGCTGGCATTACATTATGGAGTGTGTGTATGGAACAATAATGTGGTGTGGGATAGGGATGCAGAGTGTGTGTAGGGAACACTGTGTGGTGTGGGATAGGGATGTGGTGTGTACCGTGTTTCCCCGAAAATAAACCCTACCCCGAAAATAAGCCCTAGTCGGATTTTCGGGGTGGGCTGCAATATAAGCCCTACCCCGAAAATAAGACCTAGGCATTGTACCTTTGCAGCGAGACTTCCTTCTTCTACTGTAGGAGGAGCGTTGCGGGCCGCTGCATCGCGCAACGTGATGACGACATTTCGCAGCGCCGTCAGTCTGCCTTCACGGATCTTCAACGGAAGGATCCATTTCCGGACGGTGAGGCTCCCAGTGGTCGGACTCGGCAAGGAATCTTTGAAATGTGAATACCGCTAGATATTTTATGTCTGGGACTGAATTAATTAAAGGGGGCGGGGGGTGAATTAATTAAAGGGTGGACTGGATTAATTAGAGGGGGGTGAATTAATTAAAGGGGTGGTGAATTAATTAAAGGGTGGGCTGGATTAATTAGAGGGGGTGAATTAATTAAAGGGGTGGTGAATTAATTAAAGGGTAGACTGGATTAATTAGAGGGGGTGAATTAATTAAAGGGGTGGTGAATTAATTAAAGGGTGGGCTGGATTAATTAGAGGGGGTGAATTAATTAAAGGGGGGTGAATTAATTATAGGGTGGGCTGGATTAATTAGAGGGGGGTGAATTAATTAAAGGGGGGTGAATTAATTAAAGGGTGGACTGGATTAATTAGAGGGGGTGAATTAATTAAAGGGTGGGCTGGATTAATTAGAGGGGGTGGATTAATTAGAGGGGGGTGGATTTATTAAAGGGGGGGTGGATTAATTAAAGGGGGGGTTCAATGTACATACCGGTACCGTAAATAAATAAGCCCTACCCTGAAAATAAGCCCTAGTGTGTTTTTTGTGACTAAAATTAATATAAGACTCGGTCTTATTTTCGGAGAAACACGGTATGTATAGGGGATGTAGTGTGTAGGCGGTTCCTCTCAATAATACAGACAGTGGGCCAGTGAGGGAGGTCCTCAATCTCCTCACTGGACAATAACAAAGCAGTGCTTTCTCTTTAAGGGCAGGCTGGTCAGAACATAATTTCTTCACTACTAGAGTGCTCTGAGATAGGGCAGGTCCTAGTTGTGCAAGCTGTGTGGTTGCCCGGCTGCACAGCTCGCAAACCCTTAAGGCAGACCCTGTCCATAATGGGTGGGCCTGCCTGGATAAAGGGCATCTACCTACTGAAAGAGTGAAGGGGCATGTCTGGCCAGCCCTCAGCATACTGGACGTTGCAAAGAGTGCTGCTGAGCCATTCTCATCAGGGTCCTAGTGCCATCAGGGCCGGCGCGTCCTATAGGCCAATTAGGCAGCCGCCTAGAAAGCTTCTTAAGGGGGGGACGTGCAGCAGCTTTACTGCTGATTTGGACCGCCCCTCTATTTGGGAACAAGCCTTTAGTTCATGCCATAGGTCATAGCACTGGGTGCTAGGGAGCACTTACCAAGCTGCAGACTAGCAATTGGTGCCATCAACCTCAGACTGCAAAGTTCATAGAGCCGCCCCCCATTCTAATATGCCGCATCGCTCCCGGCCCTTGCCCTGTTCTCAGGGTCAAGTAGGCTGGAAGAGAGCGGGGGTGGGACTGAGAGAGTGGAGGCAGCAAGGCAGCCAGATGCAGTCCTGAAGCATGGGACACATGGAGAGACAATGTGAAGTGAAGGCAAGAGGTGGATTTAATAGTGTGTGAGTTTTAAAGAATGTGCCAGTCTGCTTTAGTGAGCATAATGTATGTGTTAATCTGATTGATTACATGAACTTCCTTCCTAATCCTTTGGATGACTCCTAGAGAGACCGTGTGTTCCATCACTGGATCCCTTCTGAATCTTCTCTTCATACAACTATAACTTGGATTACCTTGTTAACTAATTCGGACTGGCCTTGCCTCTGATTTTGGAATTTCCTTCAATACTGCTTGATCTCCTATTGAACAACCTTGGACTGGATAAAGAACTTTGCTTATGGACTAACCATGGACACATCACCTAAACTTCTCATTTCAAGGACTGTCAGTTTATCTCTCTGCTTTGCTGCCACATCAGTTTGCCGTGCTGAAACTGCCTCAAAATAAAAAGAGTGATAAAGTGATTGTATGCATCGTAGAAGAGATCACAAAAGTAAGGGATGAAACTGGACACGTATCACAGAGAGGAACCCATCTATATCCCATAAGCGGGGATCAAACCGCCGTATGCGCTTTATTCCAGAGCTAGGACATTAGCTCTGATAAATGTGAGTTTTATATTATTATTTTTACACATCCATATTAGAACTCTACATACTACACTATTGGTTGTCCCCCTCTCTCTTTTTATCTTTCATATAAGTGGACTCACTACAAAGTAGAAGACGTCAACAGCAAAGACTATCTGTAAGGACAATAATATTGGACTTTTCCTTCTTTCCAATTGGACTTTATTTTATTTAAAAATAACTTTTTTATTTTTTTCCAATTTTATCTGTGTGCGCAGCCTTTTTTCTTCTTTTTCTTATTTAGTGAGTATGTTTGTGTCTGCTTGAGTCAGTGTGCCTACTTTGGTCAGTGTGTGTGTTTGTTTTGATCAGTGTGTCTGCTTGGGTCAGTGTGTGTGTCTGGACAGGAATAGTGTGTGTGTGTGTGTGTTTGCTTGAGTCAGTGTGTGTGTTTGTTTTCTTGGGCCAGTGTTTGTGTGTGTCTGCTTAGGCCAGTTTGTGTGTAAGTCTAAATGAGTCAGTGAATTTTTGTGTGCATTGGTCACTGACTGTGATTGTGTGGACCATTGAGTATAAGTGAGTGAGTGAGTTTGTGTGTGCGTGAGTGTATGTATGTGTGTCTCAGGGACAGCATTTGGACAAAAAGTTAAAATTTAATAAAAAAAAAAAGAATCAATACATTTAAAGGAACACTACAGTGTTAGGAATATAAACCTGTATTCCAAATACTATAGTGTCGCTGTCCCTACATTGATTCAAGCCTGGAGCAAATGGGGCAGCAAAATTGTTTTGCCTAGGGCGGAAAAAATCCCTGCAACAGCCCTGAGTGTCATTTACAGATTCTTCGCAGATTTTGTGAGTGTGGGAGTCACCATTGTGCAACTCTCACCAGTGGCGTCTCTAGGATTCATTTTTCGGGGGGGCACATGGAGAGCCAGTGACAAAAGTAGGGGGGCACATTTAACCCCGCCCTTGTCACAGTTTGACCCCGCCCCTGTCGCATGTTAAGCCACGCCCCCGACACAATGTGTTTTGTTTTTTTAATAATACCTGGTGGAGGATTCATTATTTTCCACCAGGGATTATTAAAAAACAAACACATTATCCTTGATACAGTGCCATAGTTGCCAACATTTGGAAAAAAATTTCCAAGGACATTTTGCAGCACAGCTATCAATTACTGTCTGGGTATAATATCCCTGGACAGTCAGTGCTCTCTGTATAATACAGGGTTGTGTGTATAATAAATTGGGACACTCAGTGCTCCCTGTATAGTGCTCTGTATGTATAATACAGGTCTGTTTGTGTATAATATCCCAAGACAGAGAGCAGCACTATACAGGGAGCACTGACTGTCCCGGGATATTTTATACACACAGATCTGTATTATACAGATAGCTGAGCATATACC